CTACAACCTCTAGCAAGAATCTTCCCAGACTGAAACCCCAGCTCCCAAGTAATGCCAGCCCCAACAGTGTGAATTCCTCAGGGAGGTGCCAGCCTCATCCTCTTATATTGCCCACGCTTCTCAGGAGATGAAAGAAAATGTTTTTCTCCCTGAGCCTGGCCTTCATAATTCCATTCCACCACAGAGACAGATTATAGGTTCATTATGAGTGAATAATTGTAATGTGTTAAAAACACATTCTGTTTGTTGAGACCCTTTAAGATGGCCTGAAACCTTTTGATGTATGTGAGCTCAGCATCTCTTACTAAACTGAGCTACTAAAGTTTCTCCCCCCCCCCCCCAAATGCCTACTTTGAGATCTGTAACTTCTCAAAGTGTCCTGGGAAGTTGAAATGCTCTGGAAACCTTTTGATGTATGTGAGCTCAGCATCTCTTACTAAACTGAGCTACTAAAGTTTCTCCCCCCCCCCCCCAAATGCCTACTTTGAGATCTGTAACTTCTCAAAGTGTCCTGGGAAGTTGAAATGCTCTGATACTACTTTGACCTTTTTTTGAGTTCTGGTGTACAACTTATATCCATTAAATCTTCTGCACAAAATTTGGCCTGAGACACCAGAGGGGTATTGCTGGCAGACGTGGGCCTGTACCACAGTTGAGGAAGAGCAGGTGAAGGCCCCTCTAATCTTATGTGTAAAGTTGTTGGGCCTGTGATGGTGCTCTTGGTGTAGATGTGGGAGCAATGTAGACATCTGGGTTTGTTGCAGGATCTGTTCCCATGTTTCCTGCTGCTTGTGAGAATCTGTTTCAGGTTGGTGGGTTGTCTGTATACAAGTACAGACAGTCCCCTACTTATGAACAGGTTACATTCCAAGAGGCTGTTCGTAAGTCCGTTTTGTTTGTACGTCCAACCAAGTCAAAAGTCAAAAGTGAAAAATAGAGGAGGAGGCAGGAGGCCGGGCAGCGGTGTGGGCAGAGGAGCCCTATCTTCTGCTGCCAATGTGTCACCAGGTGAGGCAGGAGAGAGGGTGGTAGCGGAGGAGAGGGGAGCAAAGGACGAGTTGGTGGGGTGCAGCACACTCTGTTGCCGGGCAAGGCAGGAGACCTCCGTCCCCTCTCCCCTGTCCTCTGCCACAGCCCCTTCTCCTGCCTCACCCGGGAACAGAGTGCGCCACGTAAACTAACCTTTCTGCGAACTCCAACTCCAATGCAAACCTCCAATGCAAACGGAAGGCGCTGCAAATTAAACCGCTTCCCACCTTCTCCTGACTTCCGGTTCCAACTTCCGGTTCCGACTTCCAGGTCCATCTTGTTCGTATCGGTGAAAGTTCGCAACGTGAAAGTTCACAAGTAGGGGACCGTCTGTATGGGCCTGCCACCCGGTGCCTGTCCAGAATGGCTTGCAACTCAATAGTGTGCTTCAGCGGCTTCAGCTCTGAGCTGTTCCATATAACAAAGTGGTTCCATATAACCAGCATACTCTTTTATATAACCGATTTTGCTACTTTCAACAAACCTTCTTTCCTTGCCACAGACTCTACGTAGGGCCCGCTACATTTTTGCGAGCAAATGCATGTCTTAAAACGTCTCCATCCATTTCCCCTGTCTTAGCCAATGTGATACACTTATTATTTCACTTGAAGGCCATCAAATCATCCTAGACTCTCAGTAATTTACAACAGTAAAACAAAAAAAGACAGTTAAAATGCCCAGGTAAATATCAATCAAGTACCCGCAATCAGCCCAAACCACATTGCACAAAAATAATACAATAATGCACACTAATGATTAAGGAAGTAATTGCAGGGGATGATCAGTGCAATTCCCAAAAGGGAAGAGATGGTTTCCTTTCAGGAAGCCATCGCTGGAATGGCTAAAAGGAAGCTGTTCCAATATGCCAACATGTCATAACTGAAGAACAATGTTTTCTGGCCTCAGCCCCCCACATCTGACAAAAATGGGGTACCACCCCCAGCTTCTCCTGGAGGATCAATTTGGGCTGGTCAACTCTGGTCAGAGCCAAACCACAGAGGGCTTTAGAAGTCAAAACTAGTCAAGTGTTTTCATTCCACACAGGTACACACATTCATCTACTTGTTCTAGTTTTTTGGCACTGATGTACAACACCTTCCCTGTCAAACACAACTAACCTGTTTTTTGATAAATTACTTTTCAGATCTGTACTCCTCACTACATTATTAAGCAAATGTAGACGTCATGCACAGTAGCTAACATTTGCTGCCAGTCATTTGGGTTCTTGGCTAACAATAGGCTGTCACTTTCTCACTTTTTCCGGCCAATTCTCAACTGCTGCAATCAGGGTGTGGGCCAGCATCTGAGCTGTCTCAGGACTTTCCTCCAAATTGTGGCCAAGGGATAAAGGGCTGAGATTCATCAGAGGTGGGCAGGATTCCTACTAAGAACTTTGAGCATCTTCTGGAGTCATTCAACCATTGTTCTGCTGGAGCAGCTGCATCTAAACATGGATCTGGTTGCTTGTGACATCATCAATGCTGGTGTGCCATGACAGTTCATTTCCAAACAGTAGTGGCATCTGTGGTGCCTTGGACAGGATTACTTCCCAAATTCCTTCCCAACTCCAATAGGCTAACTGAACTTTTACAAGAAGCAGTTCTGGAGCTGGAACCTGGTCAAGCTAATGAGAGCTAGAACAGTGGTTTGGAGCTGCTCCAGAGTTGGGCCAGAGCCAAAGTCTGATAAAAGCAGCTAGAGGAGTTCCAGAGCTGGAACAGGGGTTCTTGGAACAGCTGGAGCTGAGCATCTCCCTCGGCTCAGGAACCATACTATTGGAGCCTTGTCTGGAGTGGGCAAACCAGAGCTTTGCCAACCCTAGCTGAAACAATCTTTTTTTTTTTTTGTTTATTTGCCCTGAAGACAGTGATGACTCTTAGCAACCACATAGATAGACCTTCTCCAGGACGATCTGTCCCCAACCTGGCCCTTCAGGGCTTCCATGGGTGCCTTCATCGCCACTGTAACTGAGTCCATCCCCTTTGCTGTTGGTTGTCCTCTTCTTCTGTTGCCTTCCACCTTTCCCAGCATTAGAGAAATCTCAAGGGAGTGAGGGCCACCTGAATCAATTATTAACAAACTATTAGAGGCTTTTGTAAGCCATGAATTAGCTTCAGCTAGAGTTGTCATCACTGTGCTTTTGCTTGTTGAGAATCAGCACTTCCTTAACCTGCTAGCAGGGGCTAGAAGAATTGACCACAAAGGCTTCGTAGGCTGACCACAAATAGTCCATACATGGACTAGCTGGCAGGTTGTTGCTCCGACACCTTGCGAAAGGAATTTTGTAAGGGAGCCCATGACTGGAATAAAGAGAGGAGACGTGGCATTCAGCTCCAGCTGCGGTTAGAGGTGTCCGGATAAGGGTCCAGAGGGGAAGCAAAGTTTATCATTAGCATGCTAAAAAGCACACCCAGAGGTGGCAATCTCATATGCTAATATCCCCCCCACTGGACTATTATGGGATAGAATGCTTTTGTGTGCATGTCTAAGACGTGTACCAATCTGCTTATTACTTCCTGGCTTACACTGTATGAAAGATGGTTTTGGCCTCATGATGGGGTGCTCGACTTGGACTTGGGTCCTGAGCATACCTCTTTATTTCTGTGCAGAAATAAAGTGTTGGAATCCGCTCTCCCCGACACCGTGTGATTTATTGGCTCATCACACCGGATGAAAACAAGAGTCATGGATAGCCAGGAAAACAAGCAAATGGATCATTGAGGAAATCAACCCAGAGTTCTCACTCAGGGCACAAATGACCAGGCTCAAATGTTCATATGTGGAACCTATGTGAAAATTTAGCTCCTGTTGGCCCAGCCCAACATTGGGTTCGTTTTGAACATCAAAGTTCAAAAGTGCCAATAATCTTTCTATCCTGCTTCCTGAAAGCCCAACTTTTGCTTCTGCAAGTTGTCCCATTGGCTGCACAGTTCTGATCTTTGTAGGCCCAGACACATAATGGCTAAATATCTTTTCCGATGCCTTCACTGTTACTCTACCAGGTGCTAGTTTTCAGCATATATTTCTTGACTGCTGGTTCCTTTACTGTTTGATAGGCAATCCTAGGAGGCAGACAATATCCACCATCTTGTTGTCTTCACTGTAAATTCTAAGGTTGGTAACTGTAACTGTTGCCATTAGTCTGGTCGTCTTTATATTTAATGTTCTTACCTTGACTTTCATTACTAGAACTTGCAGATCCTTTGCATTTTTGGCTATCAGAGTAATGTCACCAGCATAGTGCAGGTTATTGATGTTTCTGTGTCCAATTTTAAAACCAAAGTCATCTTTTTCCAATCCAGTCTCTCCCAGTATAAATTCAGCATATAGGCTGAATAAATAAGAGGACAGTATACAGCCTTGTCTTGCTCCTTTGCCAACCTGGAGCCAGGTCTGTTTCACCACCATCCATTCAGACTGCGGCTTCCTGTCCTGTGTTGGCTTCGCAAGAGGAGAACGAGATGTTCTAGGGTTCCCATTTTCCTAAGGTCATTCCACAGCTTGACATGGTTAACACAATCAAAGTATAATCAAGAAAGCGCATAGTCACTTCTTTGGGGTATTCTTTCATTTTCTTATTTATCCAGCATGTCTCAGTCCTTAGTCTTTTTTATCCAGCATGTTAGTCTTTTGTAATACCATCTTAAGCATCTGATATCTCCCTTTCCATCCCTCTAATTAATCTCTAATCTTCACTAGATTATGCTAATTTTGTATGATAGTTTGTTCATCATACAAAGAAAAGTCTCTTTTCTTCAGTATTGGTACTGACCTCTTCCAATCTGTTGGCCACTGCATTGTCCAGATTTGCTGGTATAGTTTGGTTTGAAGTTTTCCTGATTCTTCTTCTGTTTCTTGCCATATTTCTGTAGATATTCCATCAATTCCTGTAGCCTTTCAATCTGGTAATGACCAGAGTGCTCAACTAACTTCATCTTCTAGTACTAGAGATTCTTGTAAAAAGATTTTCCTTGTTCAAAAACTCAACTGCAGAGTTCTTAAAGCAGTGTTCCTCATCCTTGGCAACTTTAAGCTGTGTGGACTTCAACTCCCAGAATTCCTTGGTCGTTTCTCCCCATTGAGAATAAGGTCCTTGTGATGCCTGCCTGGGACAATTGAGACATTGGGCTTGTGGGCTAAACTCCTGTGGGTCTGAATCAGAAGTGGAGCTGGCAAATACAGTAAGAGGAGCTGGAGGTTCAAGTTAAGGGGTTGCCACAACACCTCTCTGTAAAAACATTGTTAAACTAATGTTGATCCTCCTGGGTAATTTTAATTTTTAAATATTCTAACAGATCTGCAGTGGGATTTTGTAACTGACTTTATTGCTCCTGTTTTACTTTTGGGGTCTTTAAAAATTATAATTGTTTGCATGGTTGTATTTTTAGTTGCTGGTGTGGAAGTGTTAGAGTTTCTAGGTGTTGCATTACAATCTCTGCTATGAGTCCTGATAGTGATGATCTCATGGGTGTGCCTCTGATTGTTGGTATATTTGTCCATCAAACTGAAAATTGGTAGTGAGGCAGAGGTTGGTGAGGTCT